ACAAGGCTCGTAATCCCCTGGCCCTGCTAGTTGGGTCTTTTGGGTCCTGAAGTACAAGGGAGCCAGCGATTCTCCAACTCTCGCTAGCGTGTTTCCCCCGCAAAAAAAGAAGCAGGGTTTATGGTGATCTAAAGCAGTAAGAAAACTACGATGTGCTACACTTTCAAGGAAATGTATCGTTTCTCGTTCTACAGCCTTTAGATGAAACGATAGTTTGCATTAGGTTTACAATTGTAACTGATCTGCTTTGTAAATACAGTAGTTAAGATCATGGTTTGTTTGCGCTTCCCTTCGCAAAGCTTTCCAGCAGAAAATGTGTCTTTGTTACCATGTTAGAGTAAACAGCTGATTTCTGTGAACTTAGTGCTCTATAGAGCTATCCTTCCTTGATTTGGAAGCATTTTCTGGACTTTACTTGTAGAATTGGAAGAGGTAGCCCTGTTAGTTTGTGCAAGCATATCGGCCAAAGACAAAAACGTGGCACCTTAAAGACTGTTACACATTTAACCTTTCTTGGAACTTCTTCAGACATAGGAGGAATAAAGAGATCACACAGTAAAACATTATTGCTGAAGCCTAAGAGACCATCTGCAATTATTTGTGACCTCTGTTTGGCATTCAGTTCTTTTGAAGTCTGGATTGATAAACATTCCAACAAGAAAATTTATCTTGTTTTGTGTGATTTCTAGTACAGTACGGTATTCATCTTACAGGGTGGTCAGTCAAACAAATGAAAATACTTCATTTGAAATGATATATGTGCATAAACTGTAAGGACATCATTTGTTAATTTTAAAGGTCTTTTTAAATTGTCTTTTATGACCTTAGAATTCTGGGAAGTCTTTGATATTATATTCATGCTTCTGAAGTTTATCATGTGTTTGATTGATAGAGAGCTTAAAATTCTGGCCTATTGAAAACTTCAAAAACCCTTGCTGATGAGAGCCATTGTAGTGTGGTGGACAGAATGTTGGACTTGGGTTCAAGAGACATGAGTAGAAATCCCTGCTCAGCCATAGAAGCTCATTGGGTGCAAGTGTTAATGGTAAACCACTCCTCAAGCATCTCAGAAACTCAAGGTCACTATAGGTTGGAAGTGATGACATGGAAAAACAACATAGAAATGACAAATGTAGTAGTTTGGATTCACTCAGTGCACTTCTTTGTCCTTTTTTGTTGTTTAGGTTAAGATATTTGCGCCAAATATTGAGCAAATGCACGTTGTTGATCATTTAAAAGGTAGTCCAAGTGAAGAGAAGAGAAATGTTTTAGTGGAAAGTGCCCGGCTTGCAAGAGGTAACATCCAGGATTTGGCAGACCTGAATGTTGGTGAATTTGATGCAGTCATTTTCCCAGGTGAGTTCTTGCACAAGTAATTAATCTTTGTTTGAGATGAAAAATTTGCACACACTGAACAAGCTCTGTGTTAAGGTAAAGGACATTAGCTTTCACTGCTGTCTCCCAATGCAACAGCACCTCCGAAAGCCTAGCATGTGTTCTCCAAATGCTCCTTATCTCCATTACACCATTGCATGGATCCAGTAGCCATATTCCTTCAAGCTAGGAGGCACTGGATTACCCAGTCAAGCTGCTGTCCCCCCCACACACACACAAACACACACAGAGGGTATGCAGGGTATGCTTAAAGTTACATTGCTGCTTGTTTGGTACTTTGCTAAGAGAATTGAGTAAACCTTTGCCCCTGTCTACAAGAATACTTTCTGCCCGGAAATAAAAGTTGCAATGTTACTTTGTTTCAGGACTAATTTCTCCTTAGCTCCCATCCTGCCCATTTTTTCTCCTGCCTCATTGTGATAGAATTGAGATACTCTTCTTACTGTCTTGATTTGAGATGGAGGACGGCAAAGTGCACATTTCAGGCCTGTGGGAGACACACAGATCCCCCTCATAGGCCTTGCGCAAATAATGCAAAAGCAAAACAGTTTTCCCAGAAGTGGCAGTTTTTGCTGAGAAGTGTCCACCAGAAATCCCAAAATACCTGAAGAGTCCATCTGATCACATTGAGTTTTGTCTTGTCACACCCACACCTTGCTATTTCAATACCTAATGCAGCCCACAGAGGGTGTTGTGGGAGTGAATGTGACCCATCAGGCCTTTCAGAGCCCCACTCCCTTTTAAAAGACACACACACATGCACACAAATACAGTTTTCTTTTATAAGACACTTAGGAAGAGCTTCGCCTAACTGAAAGTACAAATACAATCCGTTGCAGATTAATCGTCGCTATCTGGAAACATCGCAATGCGGGGGGGGGGAAATTACCGTTTTTATGCCGCCATTTTTGCTGCC